ACACAGTGTTCACCCACAGAGAGTTTTAAATCTGAACTAGTTGCCATCCTTTAAAAGTAATGATAGTATAGATCAAAATTCAAGTTTCCAAATTCACTTAAGGTATCAAACTGCCTGGCAATTCTGAGGCTGTATTTCACATGACATTCAGCGGTTCTCTCCTTTTAACAAGCATAATACTTTCTAGTAGGCCACCCCCCTCCTCTTACTATGGAAGGTAATTATCACCCATCATTTCATTTCTCCTGGCTTCTTTCATTTACATTCCCTATCTGGCCCTTGCAAAACTTTGAGATGGCCAGAAAGGTATAAACTAAGAAACGAAGAACAAGACTTAGATACTTAAATTTTATTTTCTATGTTGCACTTCCCAAGATCACTGGGAAACTGAAAGATGCTCCAGGATAAAAGACACTCTGTAGGAAAATAAGTTTGATAAACTAACCCCTTTTGAAATTCTCGATGTGCCAGGGCATGTAGAAAATGATGAGAAGTTTCTGGGAAAACTCATGACATGCAAACTTGCTTGGCTTTGGTTAGACAATAAAGAGCTACTGAAAGGTTTCACGTAGTGGAGGTTGAAAATTTGATCAGAACTATGCATTAGCTAGTTAAATCTGCTCAAAGTACAATTTCCCTAAAAACAAGAGTGAACGTAAATTAAAGCAGCACTATCTGTAGCCTTCATGTTTTTCCTCTCATCTTAGTCTTATGCAGGGGTTCTGCACTGAGCATCTTTCCCAGTTTCACCATTAGTTGACCCCTGCAACTTACAGTCCTTGTACTTAAATTCACGTCTCTATAAATTAGTAACAATGCCTTATGTTCTGATACATATGAGGATTAAATGAGATAGTACCTATATTCTCATTTAGATCTTCTTGCTACTGCTATTATCTACAGATTCATAGATTTCTATACACATATGTTCCAGAAAAATGTCCTGTGCATTGTGATATATTATACAGGACACTAAACTCATCTACTCGCCCAGTGCAAAATGTATGTCCTCTGAAGTGCATTAATGAGGCTCCTTTGGTTGAAATTCTAATTATACTGTATGGAGTTATATATTTTTGTCTTCCTCAGGGAAAGGAAGTTACAAATTGTTGTCTTCCTCAGGGAAGAACATATAGAAAGAAAGGGGAAAGGAAAAGGAAAAGAGAAGGAAGGAAGGAAAGGGAAGGGAAGGGGAAAGAAAGGACAGGACAGGACAGGACAGGACAGGACAGGACAGGACAGGAAAGGAAAGGAAAGGAAAGGAAAGGAAAGGAAAGGAAAGGAAAGGAGAAAAGAACCTTCTTTCCCTAGAGAGTAAGAGTGAAAGTAAGCCAGTATGGCAAGTTAATGTTAGTCGGAAACAACAGAAGCTCCTTTGCAAACTAGGAGAATAGAGAATTGGCTCAGTCATTTCCCAGAAATGAGAATTTCTAGGTCAACCGCAAAATTAGAAGTTTATAACCAAGAATTCAGCCAAAAGAGCCAACAGTTCCCCATGAGTCTGAGGGTTGTCCACTACAGTTATGATCAAGTCTGTGTTCTGTTTTCAGCTTGGTATTCTAACCATGCTATGGCAGAAATGTCTCTGATCATGCCCTTCTTGCAGTGGTTTGATCTTCCATCTCTGAAGTCAACTGAGGCCATACGCAGTAGACATTTCTGTAAAGACCATCATCAAGCATGGGATGCTTGGTGCAAAGGCATAGATGAGATACCCAGAGCCATGATGATGTTACCTAAAGAATCTCAGGAGGCCGACCCCCAACTACCTGAAGGGGGAACATTTCAAAAATATTAGGATCTTACTATGTTTCAGGAACCAGGCTACAGATGGGGAAACAACAATAAACAAAAAGTAGACCAATATCTGCCCTGTAAAACTTATGGTCTAGAGAGGAAGGCAGACAAATTCTGCAACTTTGGTTAGTGTTCAAGAGGAAAGAGGCTTAGTACTTTGAGGGGCTGTCATCTGGCTTCATCTTGGAGGTCAGAGAAGGCATTCCTGGGGGAGCAAAATCTTGATGATGACTAAGAACCAGGCAAAAAAAGGGATGGAAGTTTCAGATTCTATTTGCACCAGCCTCATAGCAATAGCATCGGAAATATTCAAGGATCTGAAAGAAAAAACACAGTGTAGTTGAAGTCTACAGAAAAGATCCAACTGATGCACCAAGAGAAAAAAATGAAAAGAACAAAATAGAACATAAGAGATATAGGGAACCCAATCAGATGCTCCCTAGCACAGCTGCAACTTAAGTCCCAGAAGGAGAGGACAGGCTGAGATGGGGCAGAGCATTATTTGAAGAAATAATGTCCAAGAGTATTCCAAAACAGGTGACAGACTTTGACCCACAGACTAGATCTAAATGTTCAGCAAATCCCCGCAAATGATAAACAAATTGTAATATGCCCATACAATATTCAGCAATAAAAGAACTTCTGATATTTGAAACAACATAGAAGACCCTCAAAAGCATTATGATAAATGAAAGAAGCTTGTCACAAAGGGCTACATACTGTATGATGCCATTCATATCACATTCTGAAAAAGGCAACACGATAGTGGTAAAAATCAGACCAGTGGCCACCCATGCCTGGGGTGGGTAGGAAACTGACTAGAACGGGGTACAGGAAAACTTCTGGATTGGTGGCCTCTCAGATATTAACAGTATGATAAAAACAGACTACAAAGTAATATCGCCAGTAGGATGGAGATTTTGTTATGTTAATAATAGAAAAGTCTAAAAGAAAACATCCATAATTCAACCATCAGGAGTTAGCTACTGCTTCATTTTTGCTTGCTTTTAATTGTGTTGTTGACACTTTTCTTTAACTACTGAGTTTTCTACAATGAGAATATAACTATTACAGTTAGGGAAAAGATTATTTTTGAAAACAACTAGTATTATTCACACTGATTCTACAACATAAGCAAGCTATTTCCTAATAAGTTTATAATTTATTTTCTAAGTTTAAATGTTCTCCTTCAATAAAAGAATGTTTTTAAAATAATTTTAAAATTTTATATTATTAATTCTACACACACACACACACACACACACAAGCTTCATCCATATTTCAAAATCTCTGTCTATAGTAATCACTACCTATGGGTTTGCAGAATGCTTAGCTAAATTATTCACTTACCTGAGGCCCCCCACAAGTCCCCAAATAAAGTGAATTTCCAACATGGTGTTTGCATTGCTAATTGATGTCTACCTGCGAGATTTTCCAAGTGGAAGGTATAAAGGGAGATGGCAGGACTCCAAGAAACAGATCAGGGCTCCCCAGCCCTTGTGCCCCACCCGTTTCTAAACAGCACAATTAGAGCAATAAATGCTGCAGCCCCGTGTTTGGCCTGACAGGATGATGACCCTGCAGCTCAGCAAGGCCACGTATGACAGACTAACTACTTGGAAAAGGACTCTCTTGAGGGTTACTTAACACAGTCACCTGTTGATTTATGAACACACACACTCACACATACCTTGTCTCACCCTTTTAATTATATCAATTTGCTACATCTCAGCAAAAGAAAAGAAAAAAAAACTGAAACCACTAATTACTCACAAATAAGTCAACGGCAAAGCTCCACATCTGCTCAATCTGGATGGACAAAGTTTGTAAACCACTAACACCTCATTTTCCCCTATTTCGTAATGAATTTTTAATTACATAAAAAATAACTGAATTCACTCTCTTCTGAAATATTAGGACATTTACTCAAAAATGCCTTTTGACCACATTCTCCAATTTCTATCCCTCTGAACTCTCCCCTTGGATAGTCTGGGGTTTGGGGATTTATGCTTGCAGTCCTTTTATATATAGCCTACAGTACAGCACAGAAAACAGTATTGCTTCATGAGGGTTTTTCTTGTTTTTCTTTTATTCTTTCTCTCTCTCTCGCCCTCATTCTTTTCTTACATAAATGGTTTCATACTGCAGTTTCATTCTGCAAATTGCTCATTTAATTTTATTTTTTGAGCCTTATCCCAGGCCAGTTCAACTAGATCACTTTTATTTATTTTAACTGCTGTATACAATTCCATCCTATAAATACAGCACACTTTACTTATTCCCTGTTTGATTTCCTGTTGATAGGCATTTAGGTTGCTCCAAGTTTTCACCATCACAAGCAATAACACCATGCACATAGTCATATCTGACAATCCATGTCCACATGTTCCTCTCACCCAGGCACGCTCGGTCCATTGCCACCACACTGAAATGTCAGGATCTTGACAACCAAGTCACGTGGTGCCTGGGTCTCGGTTCTCCGCGGTCTGGACCTCGGTGGAGCAAGGCTCTTAGGATCTTGCGGCCACCTCACTGGGTCAGGCTCTCCCCGGGGTGGTAGGACAAGCTAATAGGAGAGATAGGGCCATTTCTTCACCCAACCACTCACAGGCTGACACACTCATGTTCAGATTCGAATGCAAAATTTCATTATTTCCCCTGAAACCTAAAAACCCACCTAAAGGCGGTTGACTATTTGGCATTCCCTCTACATTGATCCTGGCTAAGGAGGGCCCAGGGGACTCCGGCCTGAGGAGGCCACGTTTTCCACAGCGGCCCTCCTTGCAGGGCTGCCAGGAGGGGGAAAAGGAACTCAGGGAGTTTTTGCCGGAGATAAGAGCAATTTTTAGTAAGGCAGGAGGTGGAGTCTGCCACGGGTGTCTTTCACACTTGCTACTTTCCAGCCCGTGAATACAATCCCGGCGCTGTTTCCCGGCCCCGCGGCCATTGCAGAGTCATGAAGTCATCGCAGCTGCGCCTGCAGCCAGGCGGGAACGGGAACGGGAACGGGCTGGCCGCCGTCCCATCCCCCGCCAGCCGGAAATGTCCGCGCACTGAAACGCAGACGCTGCCCGGGGAATGGCGAGAGCGAGCGAGAAAAAAAGCCTGAAGGCGGCGCGGGAGCCGGCGAGTGGGGAGACACAGATTCACACCCAGGGGCCTCCGGGCAGGGCCCGCGGGACTCAGGCCGTGTCCCGCTTGGAATGTGGAGCAGGCGCGGCCTCGGCGTCCGCACAGCTCCCCTGCATCTCCCCCTGGGGGTGTGGGGGCCGAGTGGGAGAACTGGCGGACAGAGGAGAGGCGCCTCGCTCCCAAGGCCCGGGCGGGGAGGCCTGGCCTCCTGCTCAGTCTGTGCAAATGGAAAAAGAGACGTAAGTGCCAAGTCCCAAAAGAGCAAGTCATGGGCCCAGGCTTTACAATCTGTTTCATGAGTTATTCCTCCAAGCATGCCTGGCCGTCGAGTTTTTTCATTAGTGCTGCAGCAAGCAGATGGGAACATGAGCACCGGAGAGCATGGAGGCCTCGCAGGCAAGCAGGTGGCGGCCCCCGACATTCTGGACAGGCTCTGGGGTCGAGGGAGCACGTTCTGATGCTTAAATAGCCCCCCCTTTTATTCTGACTGGGATAGTCCTGTGTGGTGGTTTGCTGTCAGTTTTACACCTAGACCCTCTCCCTACCCCTTGCCTTCATCCATAAGTAATGTCTGCCTCCGCCTGATCCCAGGCTGCCTTTCTGTGGTTCCAGAGATGCTGGTTGTGATGAGCAGCAAAGGGCCTCACTGTCTAAGTCACCCAGCAGTTCCCTTGTCCTCGGGAAGGCTGCATCTTAATGGAGACCAGGAGAGGTAATGCAGGAATGGAGTCTGGATGAGGACCCGCCAAGTTGCGAGGAAGGCAGAATGGCATAGACAGGGCGTTCCAAGCAGCCCGGGTTAGCCAGTCAGCTTTCCCACTGATAGAAACCTTGGAGGCACTTTATCCTGTGACCCCAACTCTCCTCCTCAGGTGTCAACTTCCTTTCTATTACCATTAACTCCTCTTATTCCAACCACAGCTGTTGTCAACCCTCTCAAACCTCTGAAAAACAGGATAAAAGCTCTAGTAGGTATCAGAATCTCTGCCTTGAAATCCTTTCAAAACGAAGGTTGTTATTGAGGGAGGTTTTGAGAATGAAGAGGAGGCTGCTGCAGTCTGAATGTGATGGTATTAGGAGGTGGGGCCTTTGGGAAATGATTAGGGCATGAAAGTCCTCGTGAGTGGGATCAGTGCCCTTATAAAAGAGGCCCCAGAGAGCTGCCTTGCCCTTCCCACCATATGAGGACACAGGGAGAAGGCACCTTCTATACAAACCAGGAAACAGACCCTCACCAGATGTTGAATCTGCTGGTGCCTTGCTCTTGGACTTCCCAGCCTCCAGAACTGTGGGAATAAACATCTGTTGCTTATTAGCCACCCAGTGTGTGGTATCCTGTTAGAGCAGCCTCAGATGACTAAGGCAGCAGTCTTCCATCCCCATCTCTGTAGGCCTCAGCCCCCCTCCCACCAGCATTCTCTTCCATCTTCATGAACATGGGATTTCGTGGGTCCCCCATAGTCCCTGATCCCTCTAGCACTTTGGTTTCATAATGAAAGAAATAAGAGGAAAGAAAGATGGCAGAGAACCAGCACATGGAAACCATCTTCTCTGGAGCAGAGGAGCAAGGAGAGCGGACAGTGTGGGATGAGATGTTGCTGAGGAAACCCCACTGGGCTGAGGAGTGACTGGGCTCACCATCTTCCCTTCTTCTGTCTGCCCCTCCCTGGGACAGTGCTGCTCCCCATGTCCAAGGTCAGAGACAGGGGACAGAGTGGGATTGCCACTTAGGCAGCATCAGAAAGAAAATAGAAATTCCTGAGGGATGGCTGAGATGGACATGAAAGACAGCCCTCAAAAGTGGCCCCCACATCCCTTTTGGGAGCCTTTCCTGTCTTTTACCTGAAGTACCTTCATAAATGAGTGTCTGCTTAATTTGTTTTTTAAAAACGGAGTGAAAAACATGCAATGTTTATGTCTCAAAGAAGGGTTTCTGATGAAAAACTGAGAAAGCACAATAAATGCAGTTTTGCAGTACCACGCAACGCAATAAACGTGGAGTAGCTTCATACTGGGAGTTTATGTGTGAAAAACTGTAAATACTCATTAACAAAATCACCCAACCGAAATCACGTGAACAAAGTGAGCTCTATAACTACGTATTGGCTATAACCTGGGTGTCTGTATAATCTGTCATCCAAACAAGAAGCTATGGGCACAAATCAAACCATCTAGAATGCTGGTCCCACTGGCTACAACTAAACTTGTCAGAGGTTGCATCTGTTGTCAATGTTGTGATGTATCATAGCCAGCAGTGAACTCCATGGAACTAATAATGAAAGGTGAACAGCAAGAACACAGCTGTGTCTTCATAAAGTTGTGGCTCAGATGCAATAAAGCATACCTCCGCTCATTCTCCTCCACAAGCTACTGACAAAACACAGGAAACAAATGGCAATATGTGGATTTCACAAAAGAGGAAACCCCACTTCCAGTGACATTGCTTCCTGTCACCTGTTCCTCCTCTAAGAGCAGAAAGCCATCATTCTTCATCTCCAAATTTTATTTTCGAGATCATGACACATGTGTTTCCTTGTATCTTTGAAATTTACTTGAAACTTAAGAAGAACAGTCTCTAGACTGTTTTGTGCATCATGATCACATGATCACAATGATCAATGATTCTAGGCATTGTGAGAACCCTACTCTTGCCCCTTGAAAGACATCACATTTGCTCTCAAGACAAATCCACAGTACAAGATAGGACATGCTGTCTTTCCATGAGACCATGAGTTCCTCAAAGACAGTGAACATGTTCTAACTTTATCCACTTTCTTTTCAATTTGAGGATGATGCATGCTTCAGGATAGGAACTGAAATAACTAGTTCCATTCTCATTCCTAAAAATGTATACCCACCCATCTTCCATGAGCTCCTAGAAGTTGAGTGGGTCTACATTTTAAACAGAAAGCTTACTGGGAATTCATAGGCGCTGTGGTGATACAGGTAATGGAAGGAAGCCCATGTATGGGAAGGCTGGAGATAGAGGCAAGAAAGAGTCAAGAGCGCATCAGGCCCTCTGACCTGCCCTTGGCCATCTGCAACATAGGAGGATGCCCCTTGTGCCAGGTGGCTCTCAGAATCTGGGGACTGTAAGAACCAGGATCAGCAACCATCAGTCACATGCTGAGCCCAACACTGACAACGAACATGTTCTGTCTATGACTCAAGATATACTCCCCATCTTCTTGAACCTTAAGCATATTACATTGAGTTCCTCAGGAAACAGCATTTAGAAATGCAAGCATTTTCATCTCATCCTTTATCTTTAAGACAAGTTTCTGGAGCCTCCCAGGAACTGATTTAAGGGTACTGAAAAAGGACTGGGTGAGGCTTTAGTTTGCTTGATCTCAATATTTGAAGTACATAACATTATATTTGAACTGAAGTTTAATTTGTGAAAAAATTCAAATTGTTTCTCTATTCTATAGAATATAATTGATTTTTAATGCCTCCTATATGACAAGTGGGAATAGACTGTGGTTTGCTCTCAAGACGTGTATAGGGTAGTAGGGTAAGAACATGTATATATCCAGACTGTTACAGTCTAAGGCAGATATGGGAAAGCTCTGCTTTGAGTTCTCACAATCTAGAGCCTTATCCAGTCGCTGAGGGGTGATAAGCAAATATCAAGACATTGTCCATTGTTGTCTAGGAACTAACTTTTGGTCTCTGTCATATAACGCTGGGTTTCTGAGGGTCCCAGTGTGCATCAGGGGCAGGAGAAACAGTAGGAAGCTCTGTCTGGCTTCTTGCTTCATCACACAGGACCCGGGCGTTTTTGCCTTATTTAGAAATCTACTTGTTTTATTATGACACCAACCGTTTGTTAGCACAGAGAGAGACAGAGAGGCTCACAATGTTTGAGTCCCTTATCTCGAATTGTTTATGTTCTTAAAATAATTTAATTAACTTAATAAACAAAAGCATTTTCAATTCATAAACAAAGAGAGCTCAGAAAAATTAAATGTTCCAAGAGGCAAAATGAATAGAAAAGTCACATCATCCCAAGTCATTCTCTCACCCTCTGTCTTGCACATTCCTGCAAGCCCTGTCCCTGAGAGCCAATGGGACTTCTAAAAACTGTCTTCATATCCTCATTTTGTTAAGATTTTAGTGGGATCTTGGAAGCCTTCTAGATGGATCAATATTAAAACCAGTTCTAAATGCCATGGCTATGTCTACCTTCTGAAATGACTCTAAAAAGATAAAGTGAAAAGGACAGTCAAATGTATGATTTAGAATTTACAAAGCTGTTACAAATATATAGATAGATTCAGGTTTGGTTTTTTGTTGTTGTTTGTTTGAGATGGACTCTCCCTCTGTCACCCAGGCTGGAGTGTGGTAGCACAATCTCAGCTCACTGCAGCCTCTGCCTCCTGCCTTCAAGCGACCCTTCTGCCTCAGCCTCCAGAGTAGCTGGGATTACAGGCATGTGCCACCATGCCCGGCTAATTGTTCTGTATTTTTAGTAGAGACAGGGTTTCACCATATTGGCCAGGCTGATCTTGAACTCCTGACCTCAAGTGATCCACCCACCTCTGCCTCTCAAAGTGCTGGGATTACAGGGATGAGCCACCACCGCACCCGGCCTGATTCAGTTTTTAAAGAAGGAAGAGTTTAAAACTCTAGGGCTGAAGGAAGATCTCTGAAAGAGCCAAAGGAATGAAGGAGTTACATCATTCTGGGTTTATGCCATCAACACAAGCAAGTAGACTACATAATTTTAATCTTATACTTTTATTAATTTTTGAGATATATTATTATTATAAACTTTTTAACCCATAAATGATTAGAAACAGTATAACACTATTTATACTCATGACCTCTGAAGTGTACTATAATCTCTGCACTTCAGTAACACAAATGCAGTTTCTGAATTATGAGTGTAAATGTACGTGGATAGAATATAAATTATTATAGGGACAAATGCGCTATCTGCAAGTAGTTATGTATTTTATACAGTCAATATTAGCCAACTTGGCTTAAACATTAATTACATGTTAGGTACATTCTAAGAATTTCAAGTGTATTATCTCTAATCCTCCATGAACCCATGAGGTAGACACAATTGTTTCTTACATTTCACAGATGATGAAACTGAGGTTTGGAGTTTGCCCAACGAACATAGCTAGAAAGTGATAGAGCCAGCCTCGAACCCAACCTCGAACCCTGTCCTGTGGGATGGTGAAGAGACGGCATGGAGATATGATTAGTTGTAATATTATTATGCAATTATTATTTTAAAAGCAGGTGATTTGTCATTGTTTTTGACATGTCTCAGATTTTCCCTGATAAACCCTCTCATCTGTGTCAGTCATAGTTCAGTCAGAAGCAGAATCACTAGGAGGTAATACATGTTGTATGTATGCATGTCAAATACACAGACACACACTTATACACACACAGATACATATATACCTCTGTGTGTGTGTGTGTGTGTATCTTTGTTATGGGGATTTGTACCTTACAAAGTTGTGAGTTCTTGCTAAGCAATCTCTGTAAGGCCATTGTCCACAAGGCAGGCAGTGGGGAAGCAAGGACAAGATGGAGCCCATGGGTACAAGCTGGAACCCATGAGGATGGGCTGAGACTCATGCCAATTCTTGCTGCCTCTGACTTTGATGGTATGGGTGTCCTATAGAAAGAGCTTGTGCCCTTCATCACAGGAGCCAAGAGGCTGAAGCAGGACAACAGGGGGCCTGCTGTCCCATACCAGCAATAAGCAGCATATGTGTGAGCTACAAAAAAGGGCTGCTGCTTCACCTCCAACCTTCACATGTCCCACAGGAGGCTCTTTTGTGGCTCACTCTAACCAGAAACATGCAGGGGAGGGAATTCTGGGAAGTGTAGTTCTGTCTAGGTAAGTTGACACGTTGCAAAGCTATCACACCAAAGTGCACCAAAGGTACAAAAATGGATGGGAGATGGCTCCTGCCTTCAAGGGGCTAACCCTCTAGGGGTGTGAAGGGAAAGAGAAACATGAATGTATAATATCAACACAAGTATTATAACAAGCATTATGATAAGTGCACTTAGGGTGCAACAGAAGCCACAGAAGTGGCTCACCCTACCCAAGGTGGGATTCCAGGAGAGCTTCCTGGAGGATGTGGTGTCTAAGTGGCCTTAAAGGAGGAAATAGAAGTTGACTAAGAAAAGAAGGATTAGCAAGGATATTAAGGTGGGTGGGGAGAGGGAATAACCACGAAGATCTATGGCAGAGGCAGGATAGAGAGATATATAAGCAATACATGCGGAGGGCTGGGAGTGAAAGGAAAAGATGTTGGAGAAGTCAGTGTTGCAAACCCTAGAAAGTCTATGCATTGTACTGTAGGAAGCTTGGACTTCATGTCCCAGTGACTGGGGAGCAATTCAGGAGTTAGACACATGAAAATGATATGGTCATTGAGGTAGATAGTCTCCAAGATAATCGCCTCACTGGCTTTCCTCTCTGTACATGTGTATTGCTCACTGCATTAAAAGGTAGGCTTTAATTTTTCTCCTCTTGAGTTTAGGCTGGCCTAAGCAACTGCTTGGCTAAGGGAAGATAACAGAAGTGACATTCTAAGAAGAGGTCTTAAGAAGTCCTGCAGCTTCTGCCTAGTTCTCTCAGAATACTTGCTCTTGGAACATGACATCTCCTCTTAGAAGCAAACTGCCATGCGGTCAGAGTCTAAACCCCATGGAGATGCCACATGTAGGTGCTCTGGTCAGTCATCCCAGCTGAGCTCCCAGCCAAAACCACCTTGTGCATTGCTATTGTGAACATCCAGCTAAGTCAGGCCTTTGGATGACTCCATTCCAAGCCACCATCTGAATGCAACTGCATCAAATACCCCAACTGAGGATTGCCCCTTATCAACCCACAGAATTGGAGAGATAATCATAAATTATCTTAGACTTCCAAGTTTTCATGTGGATTGTTACATAGCAATAGATAACCCAAATTGCCATGTTTATGTTTTGGGTGTTTTAGGGGGAAGGAATGGAAGAGAGAAGACACTTTAAGTGAAGCTTACTGACTTAAAAAAAAGATAAAATGAAAGTAGGAAGACTTTGTAGGAATTCATTGCTATAACCAAAAGAGAAGATATGAGAACCTGAGCCTGAGACTACTAGTTGGGGTGAGAAGAAAAGCTGGATTCTAGAAACAGGAAATAAAATTAATAGGCTTTATGGTAAGTGAAGGGCAAAGGAGAGAGGAGGAGTCAAAAATGTTTTGTGTGTCCCCTGTACAACTGGGTGGAAGCTAGCTATCTCAATCACAAAGACCCAGAGCACAGCAGAAGGATCAGGTGGCATAGAGGAGGGAATATTATGAGTTCTATGAGGTTTCTAAGTGAATGGTTAATTTTGTGTGTCAACTTGACTGGGCTATGGGATGCCCAGATCACTGGTAAAACATTATTTCTGGATGTGTTTGTGCAGGGGTCTCAGAAGAGATTAGCATTTGAATCAGAAAACTGCACAAAGAAGATCCACCCTCACCGATGTGTGTGGGCATCATCCAATTATTTGAGTACCTGAATAGAACAAAAAAGCAGATGAAGAGCAAATTCTCTCTCTGTGTCTCTGCTGGAGCAGGCCAAAGATGAATCTCTTTGGTAAACCTATACCTAAATCCTCTGCCATGGAATGGCTGCCTAAACTTGGGCAAATAACCTGACATTTCTCAGTTTCCACATTCCAAAAATGGATTTTTATGAGAATTAAATGTTATGATGCATTCCAACTACCTGGCCTAGAACCTGGCATAAGAGCTCAGTACATATTGGGGAGGGTTATCATCATCATCAGCATCATCTTATTAACATTCCTGTGGAAGGGATGATGGGCTGCTGAGCAATTCATGAAGAAGATGAAAAACTATTAGAGAGGTGGGAGGAAAAAGAGAGGACTATCACAGAAGCAGAACAGCTGAGAGTATCGAGAAAGCACGAGGAGTTAGGGGGGACCAGCAAGTACCCTCTAGAGTTGGCAATACTCCGTTTGTTGAAGGCCTTAATGAACTAACGAAGTTGTGAGAGTTAAACAAAGCTGAGATGGGATGTGAATCTCAGGGAGGATATGAGGACTCATTGATTACCATTCCAAGAAGCTTGTCTGGAAAGGAAAGAAGAGATGGTGGTAATCAGAGCAGAGCACCAGCATGCAGGGAGTTTTTATTTATTCCTTTGTTCTTGTTGCTGATGTTGTTTTCATACTGTTTTTTGTTTGTTAAAGAGAGAGAGTTGTAAGTATAAAATAACCTATAAATAGAAAGAACCAGAAACAGATTCATGTGAAGCCCTTGACTGAGAACAGAATTAATTACCCCTGCAGAGGTAATCTTCAAGCCTTGGCAGGTAGGCAAGTGTCTGAGGCACAGCTGGCTCGGGAACAGGGCCTTTCTTCGGCTGGCAGGCTTGAGGCAGCATGATTTGGAAGCGGATATGAGAAAGGGCATAATAACGTGAAATGTGCCTGCTTAGTGGGGGAGGAAACTTTGAATATTATGAGGCGGTTATGAAAGTATTTCCTTCTTATGGCTTCAATGGCACTGCCTCTGAGCATTAGTGTTTGTCCTCAGGAGGTAAATGTGGTGACTGTATCAGCAGTTACTACCTAGATAAGCATGGTGTATAGCGGTAACATGGTTCATAGAGCATGCAAGCCTTCCCCTCTTTGCTAGATGAGATGTGGAGCCTGAATTCGGAGACCGCGTGACCCCTGAGGCATGGGGAGGTGGGGTCAGAAAGCGTCACTGGCCGTGACCCAGACCCAGGCATGGAGAAACGACCTGCTGGAGTTTTCAGGCAGCAGGAAGGTAGGGCAGGTACGGAGTAGATTCTGGGGGACAGTTTCATAAGAAGTGAGTAGATCTCCACAACTTGGTTTCTAGACTAAATGGACTAAGCATGTTCCGCCCTATTCTTCCTACTAACAATAACAAAAAGCTCTGGACAAAATTCACAAAGCAACCCACAGAAGACTCCGAAGTTGGATAAAGAAAGAAAAACTGGCGATTTCCTCCATACGCAAGGCATCAGGTAGCAGGGAGAGACCTGAGTGTTGTTCATGTGTTTGTTTTCTTTTGTTCATTAATTTTTTGCTCCCGTTTATGGCAGTGTGAGCTCTGGCAATGTCTATAACCCAGAAACGCAGATGGGTACAAATTTTAAAATCCTAAGAAAACTCTTTTTAGCCAAATGACCAGCGTTTCCAGCAGAGCAAAAACATTTTGACCACATCTGCCCTTTTGTGCTGGCTAACCCCTCCCCCTGCCACCATGTGCTGCTGGGGGGATGTTGTGGATGAAGCCCACTCATCTATTCCTCCTCCTGCAGTAACGTGACCATACCCCTCCCACTCCTAACTATCCTCCCACTCCTAACTAGAGGCTGGGGGAGGACTATGTGGAGGACAGAACTGGAGAAAGCAATTCTCTAAATTTGTATATGAAATCCTGGGTAGAACTCTGAGTGCCCCATGCACAAAACAGACAAGAAACAACACAGCAAAAAGTTTCAAGGGTCAGAAAAGCTGAACACTGGTCTGAAACACTGCCTGGGTTTCAGATTAGCCCCAGGGTAGCACCCAAGTGGGGCAGATTGAAATAGCACTCTAAAGGCTTTGAAAATGAAATGACTTTTGAGCCACAGTTCACAAAGTGAACCGGAACAAGCATTCTGAACTTAAACAGGTCAAGTGCCTACTAAAATCAAAGATTTAAATAGGAACCAGAATAATATAACATACTACTGAAAATGTCTAGGATGCAATCCAAAATCTCATCACACTGAGAACCATAAAAATCTCAACTTGAAGGAGAAAAGGCAATTGTAAGCACTGAGATTACACAGATGTTGAAACTATCCAGCAAGAATCATAAAGCAGCTATTATACAAATGCACTGATTTTAAAGCAAGTATGAATGCTTGAAACAAATGACAAAGTGGAAACTCACAGCAGAGAAATAGAAAATGTAAGGAAGAACCAAATGGAAATTTTAAAAGTGAAAAATACAATAACCAGTTTTTAAAAATTACTAGATTCAGAAGGAAAGAGCAACAACTCAGAAAAATGGGCAAAGGATATGAAGAGTTTACAGAAAGGGAAATGTAGATAACTCTTACCCATATAAAAATATGTTCAGCCTCACCCATATAAGAAAAATCAAAATTAAAATTACACTGAGATACTGCTTTTTACCTGTCAGAATGGCAAAACTCAAAGTGTGAATATACGCTATGAGAATGTGGAAAATTCTCATAGATTCCTTGTGGGCATCTAGAACAATTTGGTTGAATCACTGAAATCCACATGCCATTTGGCCCTGTAATTCTACTTTTAGAAATTTATCATATAGGAAACTTGCATATGAGTGAAATGACATAAGTGGAGTGTTATTCCTAGCTACATTGTTGGTAATCACAAAGGACTACAAAAAATTTAATGTCTATCAATAAGATGCTGATTAAATTAATTCTTACACGTCATACAATGGAAAGTTATAAAACTGTAAAAAACTGAAACTCTCTCTATACCTTGCTACCATATAATAAAAGGAGAGACAATGATCTATATGTATCTGTTTGGATATGCATTAAGAAACTTCAAAGGACAGATAATAAGAAGTGGCTGCCCAGAGGAAAAGTGGGGGATGGGAGGGAGTCTGGACTGTATACCTAATAAAACCCCCAAATCAATAAAAACAAGCTACAAAGCACAGAAATAATCCTTAATGTCCAATCCCAGGGCTTTATCATAGTGGTCCCTTTATGTTTGGATGAGGTAAACCTATCCAGTGTTTCAGTTAACTTGGCTTACTATTAAGCCAATAATATTAAGGAACTTAATATTAGCAGGGATACTCTTTCATCTCGGGCATGTTAGATGCCTTCCATGATCTCCACGAGGAAGAAAAGCCCCTGAATCACCAGGGACTCCGGTGAGGATGAAAGCATTTTGTTATGGATCCTTTTTCTTGGTGGCCTGAGCTGCTGGGGGCTTGAAGCCTGCCTCCCTCCCTGCAGGGCACCCCACCCCAACTGCTTTCTGCTCATCACACAGGGTGCCCTTGCATCAGCACTATCTGCCCACTCCTAGGTGTCTGATTCTGTGTGTGTGGTTTCCTACAGAACCGGGCAGAAAAGTGAGTTCTGGTTTTTTTTTCATCTTCCAGGCACTCAAAGCAAAACTTCACAAACCCAGCCCTGAGCACCTGTCACATTGGAAGTGCTTCCTTCTCTGGTTCAGGAATTTGGTTTTTGTTTTTGTTGGGGTTGCTTGGACCCTACTGAAGGACAGAGTTTGAGGCTGGGGGTCTCTCCCCAGACTTCTCCTGACCCTTATGAAACAACCACAAAAGCCATCACTTTCCATAAGAGGATCAAGTTGCTTTTCTAAAATCGTGAGGAGTCACTGATCTGCGCTGGCTTTCTCACGAGGGCACATGTGGGCTGGGGCACAGCTGTTCCCGTCTGTTACTTGGGCTGACACACAAGGACAGCTGTGAAGGGAGCGTGTCTCCTCCCCGTCTCTGTTCCAATGAGGCCTTGGTTTAGCCCAACTTCTGAATCCAGGTGATACTCCCTAATTGGCAAACAAAAGCCCCAGGAATAAGGCAGAGAAGACTGGCCCTCACAGAGCTCGGCTCCAGTCATTTAAAATGAAATCAATCTCACTTCTCTCTTTTTCCCTCAGTGTCCTGAAATAATATTTGAAGTTCTGTTTAGTCTCTTTGGAGAACTGCCAATGACTTCGAGGCATGTAGTGAAGCTATATTTCAAGAGATGATTACACCCAGGACTTCGGAAAAGTGATTCTCACTTAGGAATAACATATGATATAGATTTAATAATCTGCCATAATAGTTGTCTCCCTACTTTTTTTGCCTCAACCAAATAAGAATAAAAAACTGACAGTAGCAAAAGGAATCTCTCTTCCATGGATGTGATTGGTAAAATTTTTTTTTTTTAATTGAATGAACTATTATCAATGGTGAGTTTTGAAAGGAACCACACACACAAGTTCTTAGATTTTCTGCTTTTGCCATTAACTATCGTAAATGTTTTCAAAAAATCTCTTTCCATCTTTTGTTCTTTGAAAAAAAAATATTCTTAACTCTATTGAAGTTATGAGTGAAATAAACAGTTTTTGAGAAAGAACAACCGAAAGCCCACTGGCCTGTTTTCTCCACTCTGACTACAATCATGTAATTAACTGTCAAGCTTGGTGACTCCCTTTCACAATCTGGAGAAGTGGCACTCACTCTTTTTGAAAAATATGACAAGCATATATTTAATTATATAATCATTATATAGGGGCATCCTTATAAAATATTAATGAAATATAGAAAAATCCACTGTCATGTTGAACTGACTCTCCTGTAAACTAAGGGTTTATTCATTCTTGCATGTGTTAATTCATTCTTGCATTGCTATAAAGAACTGTCTGAGACTAGAAAATGTATAAAGAAAAGAGGTTTAATTGGCTCATGGTTCTGCAGGCCGTACAGGAAGCATGGCTGGGGAGGCCTCAGGAAACTTACAATCATGGTGGAAGGTGAGGGAGAAGCAGGCATGTGTTACACAGCCAGGAGAGGGGGAAGAGGGAGAAAGGGGAGGTGCTACACATTTTTAAACAACCAGATCTCAAGAGAACTCACTAATCATCATGAGAACTGCAAGGGGGAAATCCACCCCCATGATCCCATCACCTCCCAGCCCGCCCCTCCTCCAACACTGGGGATTACAATTCAACCTGAGATTCAGGTGGGGACACAAATCTAAACCGTATCAGTGGCATATCCTTCCAGACCCTTTTAATACATATGTACACATAGAAATATTTATATATGTAGATACAAATATTTATATGTAAATACAACTACAAATATAGAAATATATAATGTCAAGATTGTCTTTTACATAAACAGAATCATGTTGTACACATTATTCCACAACTTGATTTTTAACTTAATATCTTAATGATGTTTCTGTATCAGTATATGTAAATTTACCTGACTGCTGTGAAATATTCCATCCCTTCTATATGCCACAATTTATTACACTTTTTCCTATATATTTAGATGGTTTCCAATATTTTTACTATTTAAAATGATGTTTCAATAGACATTCTTGTGCAAAGTTCCTCGTGCACATGAATATTTTCCTATAGTACACATCTAGACATGGAATTATTAGGTCAAATGATCTGCTTGTTTTTGTTTTAAAAGGTGTTGCTAAACAGTAGTAGTTATGGCTAAATATGGTGACAAACTCTATATTAGCTTAAATAATCCTCATAATCTATGATTAGGCACTATTATTACCCTGAATTTGAAGTTGAGAAAACCGAGGTACAGAGAGGTCCAGTAACTTGTTCAAGGTCACACAGCAGGTAACAGTGGAACCAGAATTCAACTCCTGGTATCTAGCTCCAGAATCTATGCTCTCAGCCTAACAGTTGGATGCCTCTCTCTAAAATGCAACTGTACAGATATATGATGCACATTATAAACTATATACAAAAATAGAAATTAAAAGAGAGGCTATAAATTAGGTAACATTTTATGATACTTATTAATACTCAAAAGGTTTTTCTTTCAGTAAAACTATTATTAATAGTAATATTTTAGTGAGAATAAAATAATCGAATGTGTTCCCCTTTTTCAAAAAAATTGACTGTACCCTTTTTGATACAGCCATTGGAAACTTTGGTTCTAAGTTCAATTTATTGTCTGTCATAGCTGAAAATATTGCTGGGCAAATGTAAACTCTAAGGGAAGAAGTATATCATTGGCTTCTAAATCATAATACTCACTTTTAATCTCATCCACAAATTAGTCAAAGTATTTTCCAAAAGTTTGTCTAGAAATGTTCTTTTTCCCATTTATCAGTGTATTTTCCTTAGAAAGTAATTAGGGCAGGGCAGGATGGCTCATACCTGTAATCCCAGCATTTTGAGAGGTTGAGGCAGGAGGATCGTTTGAGCTC